CTTATCTATGCAGTTCTCAGGCTTTGGAGCAGGTATCACACCTAGTCAAGGTCACTTTCATACCCCCTGACTCCAAAACAGAGTCATGGGTTTGCAGTGCCAGACTTTAATAAAAAGCCCTGGCATTACCCCTGGAAGTTGGAGCATGGACACAGGTCTTGGGATTAGGTGCTGCGTTATTTAAGTTATTTTTGGGGTCTCTCCACTGTCTCCTTAAGGTAGCTCCCAACAGTGGGGGAAGAAGTTTATCACCTTGCTTGGTATGTTATGCTTTTATACTATGCTTATGTATTTCTGTTTAATTCTATCTTACGCTCTTGTATTCCTGTTTGCTAGACTTAACCATAAAGCTTAAAATCTCCTTACCTACTGGTGTGTTCATTGTCTCTGGATCTAAAAGAACTAAAAGAATGAATTGCCTGGGCACCTGATCACTGCCTTGACAATTGGCAAAACATACTCCTGCCTATTTTCCCCACAACAGCAACTGTAGACATGCAAAACCATCTTCCTGCTGCTAGTCAAGAAGCAAAGAATTGAAGGAACTCTACATAATGAGAAATGGCATGGCCCACAGTTTTCTCAGGGAAAGTCTGACACACACACATGGGCAAACTTTGACTGTAGTTGCTAGCAGTAATTTTGCTTGCAAGGAGTCCGAAGTAACTGGCACAAGGAGAGGAATAGATGAAATGTTTGCCCTCCCCTCCCCCAGATAGTTTGGCCATCTAATGTTTGCCATTTAATGTTTCGCCAAGAACATTATCCCTCTGCCTGTCAGCTAGATGGTGATGGCATCTCTCCAGTAAAGAAGTGCTCTAGGAGATCTCTCTCCTGAGCCATTTCTGTGGATGGTGATTTGCTGATTTTTTTACTGCCTGCCTTTCTGCCCAGCAGAACCCTGATTCATGCTCTCTTTTCCATTGCTTTGAATAATTAATTAATACTATGTGAGTAAGGTCTCAGAAACTTTGGCTTTTGACCCCAAGTCTCTTGCTTATTGAGAGTTTTTATGATTGACAGTGAAGTGACTTACAGCCCATAACTGAGACCAGAAGACTATCTAAGTAATCAAGGACAGGGAGGGTTCTGAGTATCAAGTTCTGAATCCATATCAACAGATTGTGGATTTCCTAGAAATCTCACACACCATCCTTGTGCACAAGCAATGGGGATTGTGGTGCAGAGGGAAAGTGAATATTTAGCTATGGTGTGTGTATGTTAAGGTAGGGCATGTACTTGAAGTTTGCTTGTTCAATGTACTTTTTTGTTTGCTCTGAGTATTTTCATCTGGTGTGAGTTTGTCTATTATCATCCATATGCCTTTTTTGGGGAAGAAAAAAATTGGGGTAATTTGATATTTGTCACTATGATCCCTCTTTTTGGTTTCACTCAGTTTCTTTGCCAAATTATTTGTCTCTGAACCTCCTAGTTTATCTTATGTGAAATGGGTGCTGAAGCTGAAAACTATGGGTTGAAAAGAGTGTTTCAACAGACTATCTCTGATGTATGCTGAAGTTTTGAGTGAATACTTTTTTTTTAATCTCTCTTCTACTGAGAAATATATATATTTTTTCTGACTAGCCCCAAATACTACAACAGCCATTTTGAGAAAGCATCCATGACATACACTCAATATGGCAGATATGCCCACTGGTCCAAAAATCTGGGGGCTCCTGGAACAAAATATTATTTTCTTGACTACTTTTGTTCTATAAACCAAGCCAATTTTGTGGTCTGAGAAAGTGATGACTGTTGGATTGTATACCTGTTTGAAGTGCTTGCTTTTCCTTTAGTAAGGCCACCTCCTGGGAAAGATTCTCTAGTTGCTCTTTAATGTCTTCAATCATTCTGAGGCTTACAACATCTGTTAAGTGAAGAATGAGATAAATGATAACATCTGTCTGCATCTAATAACTGCGCATTCAAACTGATGAATAGAATGAAAACCTCCTCCATTGGTGATGTAACCTCAAATGAAAAGGAAAAAAAGAAAGTTTGTGTACTTATCCTAAATCTGTAAACTATTGTATGTTTTATAAAGTTATCAAGTGAAAATGTTTCCATACCTCAGAAACAAAAAAACAAAACAATCCCTCCCTTTGTTGCAGATTGTTTTTTAAAAGAATGAGCTGGGAAAAAAAGGCAGTCCTAGTTCCTTATATATGTTCTCTACCCTTTGTAGCTTTATTTTATCAAAATTTTATATTTCTCATATGACCACTCCCATTTGGTTGTAGTGTATATTATGCACATGTACAATGATGTAATTTTCTTCCTTCCATTTATGGCACTATATAACTCTGCAGACAATAAAAACTCAAGATTCTTGGGTAAATCAAAGCTTGTTTACATGTACTTTACTTCTGGTTACCACAAGTTTTAAATCACAATGTGACTCCCTTGGGTTTCAAATTACATCTAATCTACTGATGCACAATAGCTAAACTGGGGTTTACTGTTACTTAACTCACAATCTCACAATGAGACAGAGGGAAGTCAGTAGCCTCTAATTAACCAGACTTCCAGGAAACTTCAGCTTCTAATTAACCTTTAGACTCTGTAAACAGAATGAAAACCATAGTAAGTTAATTGGTTCTGGTGGAAGGTCAACAACCATATATCAAAGCCTTGCCCACCACAGTGATCTGGAATTTTCCTAGGCATCCTCCATTTTGGGCTTGCTGAATAGTGACTTTTGAGACAGAACATATAAAGGGCAGTTTTGAAATACAGTAAATATCCTCAGATCTGGCCACTTTGCTTAGTATTATCATATGCTCAGCTCATTTCTGACCCATGTTGTGTTTGAGGCTCAGTTTTCACTATGAGAATTGAAAGTGCTTTACAAATTAAAAAGAAAGCAAATGAGAAGGATATCAGTGTTTTTAGGCATTGGTCGAACTAAATTTAATGGGCTCAGTTAGTTATATTTATCACAATATCAACCTTGTTTCAAACTGTGCTCTCCTTGCCCCTAGGTATGTAGAACTATTCTAGTATTTTAATTTAATTAATGTAATTGCTAACTATTGATTGGTCAAGACAGGATTCACTGTGGACATCTCCTCCACAGGTCTGTAGTTCAGTGTACTCCTGCATGTGTACACACCAACTCTCCTGTGAACCCCCCTCTTCTCCCCAGCGTCTTGCATTGCCATTGCTGGTTAAGCAAATACAGGCCTATTAATAGAATAAGCAAACTACAGCCCTGGAATCCATTTCTGATGCCCTGGAGGCTCATCCAACCTCATCACCAAACTTCAGTGGCTCAATCACCTAACACAGTAGCTTGGCTTTTGGGCCTTTTGAAGTGCAGGATACACAAAACCAAAGAAGCCCTGCTCTGCCCCTATCCATTCCGTCCTCAAATCATCTGCAACACACTTCAAAGGCGACCTGCGTTTTTCCTACACTGGGGGTTCCTAAACCTTTTGCCATCACACCTTCCTTTAGTGTAATCTTCATGTACACACCTCCCCTAAAAATCCAAACACCAAAATGAACCCAAATGAAAACAATGCAATGAAACTTTGGGAAAGGTGGACTTATTGTAATAACGTACTAAAAGGTTCTTCACCCCTCCCCTGGACTTTGTCTGCGCCTCCCTAAGGAAGGCACACCTCACAGTTTGGGAAACTCTGCCCTACACCATCTGTAGCTGAGAAAAGCATGCCCATAGCCTGGAGACCGGTCCCTTGTGGAGGGTACCTGCAGCCAATCGCTGCTCAGATCAGCCAACCCAACATGCAGGTGACAAATCTCAGCTCAGCAGTCCTCCCTCTCCTCGCTTTGAACGTACTACAAACGATTGACTTGCTGCCCTCATTTGAAAGATTTGAAGTATGTGAATGTTTAAAAACACCCTCTCCCCTCCCTTTGCAGAGAGAGATGCAAGTGCGCTTCTAGTCCCCTCTTTGTCTCTTGGGGAGACCACTAGAAAACCCAGCACTAGATTAGGAAGTCAAAATCCATCCTCCAAAGAAAACCATCCTTCTCTGGAAGAGAGTCTCTTCCTGGGCATAAAAAGCTAGCACTTAAAGGAGATGATAATCAGAACATGGAAAATGATTTCTTTCTTTCAGCTTCCACAGCTGGCTTCAGCAGAGATGTAACAGCAAGGGAAGGGTGGTGGATTTTCCATGCTGAACAAAAAAGACTGCATTACTGACACTGGCTTAATTCCCGGGAGCAAATATGTTGCATGTTCCTTACTTAAAGACAGTTTAACTGAGTTCTATTACTAAGGTTTCACCTCCAATGAATATTGCCAAAAGTGTTTAGCATGTTAGCTGTGGATGTGGTTATACCAGTTTGGAGCACACTTGAATTCTCTGTTGAGCAAAAGTTTTGAACTATCTTATGTAGAGGCTTGTTTGAAAAGAAGGATTTGGGAATCACATTTAGCCCATTAGGAAGTATTCAACCAAGTTCATATCCAGACTATGGTCCCAAGAATTTGAGTTCCCTCAAATCAATAATAAATATATTTTAGTCACCCAAGGAACAAAGTTCTCCAGGCAACATCCAAACTCCTGGCATCATGGTACAACATATCCAGGTTATGAGGAGAAAAAGAGACATTAGCTGGCCTCATTTGAGACACAAGGAAAAAAGTGTATTTTGTATTTACTGAGAGCATTTTTGGAATACCCTAAACATTAAAAATTAGAACACATTCTGGTTTACATCTCCTTATGTTTTTTTTTAGCTTTTTTATTTAATAAAACAGAACAAATAGAAAAAAAAATAAAATAACAAAGAGAAAAGAAAAATAAAGCAATATAACAATCTCATATCTATATAGGCTATATATATGAAATATTACCCAACAGTTTCAATAAAGGATCTCCTACAGAGAAATAAGTCCCACTGAGTCTAACATGTTTTATCTGTAGGTAATATACTGTAAGAATAATGTTTATTTATTGCACACTTTTATAGGATTGCAGTCTAATCCAATTCTCTCTCTGCCTGCATTAAAGCACAAGATTATCAGACTGTAAACAAAAGGTTTGTGGTATGTGCTATTCCCCAGGCACAAACACTGCAGAATCAAACCCTACTCTTTTGCTACATCAGATACATTAAATAATTCTTGGCCTGGTTGTGTTAGACACACACACACACATACATACACACATACACACAGAAGCATAGAAGAATCTGATCGATTTATGGATTCCATTCATTTTCAAGCAGAAACAAAAAGTCATTTTTTAAAATTTATTCAATAATCAAAGTTCAGTATATTGTGACTTGGTCAAACAATCAGCTGTAGTTTTAATCGATATTGGCTGCAATACATAGAACAATAATAGAACAATTTTCCCCCTTTAAACCAAATTTTGCAAAATGGAAAGATCACTCTGAAATGGAGACTTGGAAGTCGATCTTCTTGGCTCCTTACCTTTTCTGACTTCTGGCTTTTTCTTGGGTCTGGTGTTTTGTTGAGCTGTTATTTGTGCCACGCAGAGGAGGCACACTAGAAGGCAAATTCCTCGGAATGGCATTTTGCTGCTGCTTCGCTCAGAGAGTGGAACGAAAGTGGAATTGGCTGCCTCGGGTTAAGCTTCTTAACATGACATTAACCAAAAATGTCTGGTCAAGAAAGAGTTCCAATTTCTTCTGTAGCGTTCCAGTGACTAAAGGTTATTTTGCAGATTGCTGGGAGAGATCCAGTATCCTAAGGGCTTTCCAGCTAAACATGAAGGGGTGTGTATGTGGAAACGGGATGCTTCTTTACTTTTGTGGGCTTTTGTTAAATTTGCAGATTAAAAAAGCAAGACTGACAGTGCCTATTTCCATTATTTCACTGCGAGTCCCAACACAGTCCTTCTGCCTAGGTTCCCAACTTTTAAACCAGCCACTGTAGCTGGGCTTTTATGAACAGATCAATATTCATTTATTTTGCATTAAAATGAACTTTGGTGTCGGAGGAGACTTCTGAGAGTTCCATGGATAGCCAAGAAAACAAACAAATGGACCATAGAACAAATCAATCCAGAATTTTCTTTTGAGGCACAAATGATATAGCTCAATTTATCATATTTTGGACACAGACATAGCTCTCTGGAGGAACCTATTCTGGGAAATGTGAGAAGAGAAGAGGACAACCAGCAAGGTGGATAGACCTGATTACAATGGCAATGGGTGTACTCTTGGAAGACCTGAAGGGCTAGGTTGGGCAGATCATCCTGGAGAAAGTCTGTGTGGTCGTCATTAAGAGTTGATACCAACATGATACAACTTAATCAGTATCTCAGAACACATATAAAATTATATTAACCTAAAACAATACACAGATGTACCTCTCTTGAAGCAATCATTTATGTTCCATCATAGCCAGTATACAGAAGTTGGCTACATTACCTGAGTTCTCCACCTCCTGATCAGCTAAAAGGAGGTTGAGATAGGCCTGCCTAAATATCATGATGTAATTGAGGAAATATATGTAGCTCAAATATCTCTATAAAAGAGACAGCACAGCAGTACATGACCCAGTTTGATTTCTCCCTCACCACATGGGCAGATATGCTGTTCTTTTGGAATGTTGCAAAACCTGCCCTCTAAAGCAGCAGATGGAAGGGCATTATAGAGGGCCAAAGTAAAAGCTCTTCCAATATTTTTGGAAACAATATTAAATAATGGGCAGGTGCTATACTTTTTTTTTTTTTTTTAGTCTCACTGGGATAAAGTAAGGTAGAGCCAGGCTGAAATCATTTTGGAGGTTAGTATCTCTGGCTTGTTGCTTAAAGAATGATTTGGCAAATCAGCACACCCTCACAGACAAATCTTTTAGAATTTGTTGCCATAAGGTATCAATCTAATTGCTTTAAAACTAAAACTTGTACATTTTTTCAAACAACAGGATGGTCATCTCCATTGCCCCTTACGTGTGACCTTCCAGAGGCATGTCATTCTGATTTGATTCTGGCTTAACTGAACAATTATCAGCTGATTCATTAACAAGGAAAATAATATAGCAGATATCATATCTATGTTTGTGTTCGGTCTACAAATGCATTGACAATAGTCAAATTGGTTATACACAATGGTCACTATCATAGCATGGGTATATAAAATGCCTTTTCCATTATAGTCAGGTGCATATAAGCTTCTGGCATACATACTATATTTGAATGCAGGACATCTGATTGTACCCACTTGGGTACAGACCTTCTCACAAATTTCAGAATTCAACAGACATTACTATATGGCTCTCATCAATGACCTTGATTCCAGAAGTGGAATTCTAAAATATCATTCCCATTTCCTTCTTGCTGAACTGAAGGAATATGCAATGTTACTTCAGATAATCCAGTGAACTGAAAGAATTTGTAAGATAACATCTGGGTCTCACTAACTATATTAAAAATATAGCATCTTTTTGCAACAGTAAAGATTTTCACATAACAAACAGCCACTTGTTGCTCATAAATGTTTTTTTAAAAAACAAGATCTTTACAGCTGTGCTAATTGGGCTTATTGCTGCCAGTCTTTGCTAAGGATACTTCTATAGCTAGCAAAAAAAAAAAAAAAAAGCAAAGTATTTTTGGGCAAGATATTTTATTTTCTCTTAACTTTTAATGAGCTACTGAATTCCTGGGCTTACTTGTTGCATTCTGAGTAAAAGCAATTAAATATTTCTGGAACAAAGGTTGAGCTCTTTGCTTGACAGATGTTTCTGTTTATTGCTATACTGGACGCATGACAATGAAAACGTGGCAGTAACTGCGCAGCAACACATGGAAATTTCCACTAACCATAATGGCAACCGCTGCTATGGTAAACAAGCCTAGTCATGGGTCAGACAGCAGCTTCAGTTATGTGAGCAGGCAGTTGGAGAAACACATCTATTATTTGTGTCAGATGGACCAGACTGTTCACCTCTGAAGCATTCAAATCTGTGTTTAGGTCTTTAACACCAGTCCATTTGTGTCTACAGTATTTGGGCAGATTTGAGAAAATCCAGGACTAACAAGGAGAAATCCTATGAGCATAGCTTAAACATGCATGTCTGTTGCTGTATTTGCACCCCACCCACCACCAAATTACCCTGGGCAGGGACAAGGTTAGGCAATGCAGCTCCAAGAATTGACTGTACTTATCATATTATTAAAAGTAGTTATATAGAACTCATTTTAAAAATCTCAGTGTTGATTCAAAAATGAAAAAGAGTGTAAAATAAAAACAGAATATAAGCAATCAATAAAAAAAAATATTGTGAATCAGTGCCTGGGGAAGGCCAATATAAAACACAAGTTGGTATCCCACATAAAACAGTGTTAGGATCTGAAAGAGAACAAGGCAGAATGCATTCTACAAGGCAAGGGTACCCAATATATCAAGTGGAGAGATCTATGCAGAAAGTGCCTGACAGCACTTGGACTAAATAGGTTGAAATAAAAAGAAATGGCAATCTTATATTTTTGTAAAGTTGAACTATAATTTCTCTTGTTTTGTTATAAATATTTAAAGATCCACTTCACACAAGTTTACATGACCAATCCTATCTTTATTTAAAATATATTCAATTCTGTCAAAACAAACAAACAAACACTACTAAATAGAAATTCAACTGATCCAAGGTGATGATGGCATTCAACCCAAGAATCCAACTTTTTTTCGTGCTGATCCAAGACTTTCTTCTTTATCTAAGATAGCTTGCAAGGAGGTGTGCAGCAATTTGCCTACTCTCTTTCCAGTCTGGAATGCAAATGAAAAATGAACCATATAAAACAGCACAAATGAAATAGAAGCAGCAGAATCTATTAAAAGGTTTCTCTTTACATTATTACCAATTGAGGTACAGGCAGTCCCCAGTTTAAGAACAAGTTCCATTCCCAAGGTCTGTCCTTAAATTGAATTTGTATGTAAGCCAGAACAGTATTATTGTATAATACCATATAAGTAGTTTTGTGTAATTAACATCAAACATTGTGTATTTAACTCGAATCAATGTGTATTTAATTCAAATCCTGCTACAATAGGCTCCATTCTTAACTATGGGTCATCCTTAAACCCGGTGTTCTTAACCAGGGGACTACCTATATATTATTTGGTTGAATTTAATTTATTGGACAAAAAGACAGGTTTCGAACTGGTGTGTGGGCGTGTGTAAAATATAAAAATGCAAAGAAATTATGTATTAAATTATGTGTTTGTAAGAACCATCTCTACAATCACTTTTTGGGCTTATTAGGTTCAATCTATGCTGAATTTCTCATTTAAGCAAAATGCTAAAACAGCTGTGAGAGAGGCTTAGATCCTGATTTACAATATTATGAAAGAAAATGCAGAAGGGGGCATTGTCTGGTCTATAGCTGATGAAAAATTTTGCCATAAGCCAAAAAGGAAGAATACTAGAAAGAAGTATATTAGAATGATGTCATGAAATATCTTAAGTTCCCACTAGAGCAGTGTTTTTCAAACTTGGCAACTTTAAGATGGGTGGGGAATTCTGGGAGTTGAAGTCTCCCCATCTTAATGTTGCCAAGTTTGAAAAACACTGCAGTAGAGGAAAACTGTTATTTTATAATAGCATTTCAAACCTCTGGATATGCACAGGGTTTGTGAAGAAGATAAAAACATAGTGGCTATAGGCTCAAGGGGTGCAGCAATAGGACTATGCTAATGTTACACGAAAAGTAAAAATAGTTTCCCTTCTATATCAGTTGAATACCTTAAGAAGGAATGAATAAAATGTATAAAGTCAAAAAGTACAGAAATGCAATGCTACCATAAATAAAAGCTGGCATGAAGTGTATATGCTAAACTTTTCTAAACATATTGGATTTTTTAAAACAAATGCATGCACATGGATGAAATTATTGTTTGCCCCAAGGCCAACCAAGAGTCCAATGTTTCACTTGAATGAACGATGAAACTGTTACAAACTGTTCTATTTTTTTACATTGTGTTACAACAGATAATCAGCAACAATATTCAATTCCTAATAAAACAACTCCTGATTCTTAAATGCATCATTATTTCAAAGGAGGAACGACGAGGTTAATGATAAAATTTTACTTTAAATATTGTTCAAATGAGAGAATATCTGTGAACAATGCCAACTGTAGATGGGTTTCCATTATATAAAAAAGTGCATGCAAATGTAAACATTCTTGAAAGTTATATTTTAAAATAAATCCAACTTTTAGGATTTACTTACTGTATGACTCGCTCAAAGTTCATACTAATTTGAAATCTAATCATCTGTCCAGTGTTTACTTACCTCCATCATCTCAAATATGCTCTCTGGGTCAAGGCTCCCTCTTCCCACTTTCTTCATACAAGTGAGAACACCCTGACTAGTTACAGAAATAAGGAGGCTTGCCAAGGAACATGCTTCTTCCTGAAGGGTGGCATCTACCACATGCCTATAGCCAATCTGTGGAAACAAAGACAGATACTTCGTATGCAGTACAGAAGACTGCACTGTTGAGGCCCTAAGTTAAGGTCTTGAGAAGGCTGGGAGTAAAGTTGTAAAAATAGAGTTGCTAAATAAAAAGAAACTTCCTATTAATTTCAGGATCAACAAATAAATATATTCCAAAGAACATGCAGTACCGTTATGCATATTGAAGTATTCACATGGTCTGTCTGAGAGTCTGTTTAGTGTACAGTAGTGGCTAAGGTGCTGGACTAGGAGCGGGGAAACATGAAGTCTAGTCTTGCCTTAGGCATAAGAGCCAACTGGGTGACCTTGGGTCAGTCATTCACTCTCAGCCCTCAGAAGTCATAGGAGGACTTTTGAGGAGATTTTAGATGGAACCCCAAGAATATTATTAATAGTAGTAATAATATTCATGCCAAAAACTAGAAAGAAATTAGCAAGCTTTATTGTGCAGCTTGCAAGCCAGCAGACATCCCAAATCCCCAGTTGAATTTAAAGTAACGAGGTTCTTAAAAGACAAGGGAAAGTATTAACCACAAAAATACAAACCAGCCACAGAGGGTTCATTACTACGCTGAGAATTAGAGGCTAGTGCTGGGAACCAAGGTATTTTAGGTAACAGTTAAAGAAATATATCAACTTAGGAATAGGTTTAAAGGGTCTTTTTCTAAGCAAAGTCTCAATGTCTAAGAAGAGTGCCTTCATCTAAGCCACAGGGTGTATTAATATGTAAAAATCAGATCCAATCAGTAGAGTAATATATGGGCTGCTAAAGGGAAATGACCAATTAAATGTATGCTGATTCAATGTAATTATAATGTAACCAACCAAATGAAAAGCTTGATCTGCACATGCCAGTAAAGAGGGTTTGTAACCTCACCCCTCTTTAGGTGACATTCATTGTCTCTGGTTAAACATAAGTGTCAATAAATCAATTTAGGCTTCAATGTAAGTGTGTCCTGCTCTCTGGTTTAAGTAAACCCCTTTCAGGAAATAATTTTTCTATTATAATGGCAAAGGCAAATCATTTCAGAAAATGTTGCCCACAAGAACTTGTCTATGTAGTTGCCAGGAGTCAATCTGACTTGAAGTCAGAAGGAAGAAAGGAAGGAGTCCTATCTGTCTTCAAAACTCCTTTGCTAGATGTCCCTGTCATTCAAGGTGAAGACATAGCAACAGGACAGAAAGTCTTCTTGATTATTTCATCCCCGTTGTGATGTTCTTCCCAGGCAAATTCATGAATGGTCTAGTATTACTCTAGCATCAGACAATCTCCTTTTTATTCTCCTAGACCTTTTCATTAAGTCACTACCTTAATTCTTGATTATATTAAGTTTTCACTGTTTTGAGCAAGTTTTTTTTAGAATATTGCTGATCCTTTGGTATTAAGAATATTTCCTTTTTATGTTGTTTTCATAAATCAACTCTAGGATAAAAGAAATTCTGAATAAGATAGGATGGAAATCCCTATTTTCTGTAATGCTTATAAGAACTATGAAAAGTATGTTTTAAAATTAAAAGCCTAGGTAAATTAGCACTTAAAGTTATTTTAAAAAATATTTTGTACTTATTTTAGAAACCAACTCAGTGTATGTTTTTATAACAAGTCTGAAATTATGTATTTCTGTAAAACACATTTTATATAATGTATTTTTACATATTTATATAAAACACCAAAAATGTTATTACTTTAAATTAGAGTTGGGGAAAAACCCTTTGCCACAAATGATCTGTTCCTTTCCTGACAATTTGCTAGGCTGGAGCATAAAGGCCATGCCATCCATTGCTGGCTCTGACTTCATGGACCACTGGCTTGGGGTTCAGCCATCCCAAACAACCAGTTCCCAACCGAGTACTATCAAAATGTTTTTGATAGGAAAAAAAAGTTTCCTAACTCTGTCCTAAATATAATATAATACATTTATATTTATATAGTGCCTTTCAGTTTAGAGTCCAGGGAGGTACTTAATTACTTAAACATGGAACTGTAAAAAAAAACTAAAAAGCCCAATATATAAAAAGGAAAAAAAAAGGTTTATCTGAACAGAGGAAAAGTTAGACCACTGAACAGCAACAATCTCAACATGATTTGTTCACAAAAGTGGCCTATTGAGATGGACAAAATAGAAGATTCACAAAGAACTGATTTCAGCATACCTAATTTCCTGTCTGGGCCATCTTTAGCAAAATAACCCCTCATAAATAGCCTGCTTCCCAAAGATGTTTAAGGAACAAACAAATTTCAAGACTAATAAGGAAACCTGTCCCCTACTTGATGAAGAAAGAAAAAAGCAAAACATCCTTGTGTATAGTTTCCAAGTACTTTCCAAGGCTGTGGTCACAATTAAAAATCAGGTTAATCTTTTAGCATACTATTTGGTTTAAAACAAGCATCAAAAGAAAAGTTCTGAATTTTTAGAGGCTTACTTTGCTTAAGGTGACAATGCAAGGAACATTATCAACATTAAGTCGAATACAGTCAAAGGGGTCATCAGAAAGTTCAATTTCATGTCCTCCTTCATCCTCCAAAACACGTACTTTGGGTATTCTGAAGAAGACAGAAATGACCATCAAACAGTATGACATCTCTGTATATTTTATTAAGTAGGATTGACCCAACTCCCAACCAAACTTAAGCAATAAGCGAGGACAGAATTTCCATAAATTACAATGACAGCATTTGTGCTTAACTATATAACTGTTAAGTGATGAACATGCCACATTAGAGCTCTGTAGTAATCACTGCTTCTTCCTGCAAAAGATAGACAGATACAGCTTCCAGATCACCTATCTATACTTTGGCAGTGATTCAATATGTCATTTGAACATAGGACATGTGATACTATTGAATGTCCAAACATAGAGTAACAATGGTTTATTGTAGGCTATCTTAGAGTTAGTGTTAAACTAGCATAACTCTGCATTTGGACAATCAGTACCGTGTGCTGGAGGAGCTAGCACAAAATATTGCTGCTGTGAGTTGATCATTAATTGGTGATGTATGAATAGGTACAATGAGAATGTCACATTTACTTTTCATATACTAAGAATAAATCTTCTGTTTGGAAAATTCTCAGTGGTCAGTTATAAAAAAAGTTCTTACATAAATTTACATAAATTTCATTATCATGAATATTGTCAGACAATTCTCTTAATTATAACCAATAGCACAAACAATTTTAAAAATTGCTAACAATTTTGAAAACAAAGATTTATTTGGTCACATATACAATATATGGCTACACATTACCATTTCTGGTGGCAATATCCATTTTCTCACTCATTTAGGCTGAATAATTACACAATACTCTTTAATAAATAATGTTAATGAACTTTAATTGCCTTTTTTCAGGAGGTATAAAATTGTGCCACATAAGAAATCAGATGAATAGATTTTTTTTAATGCCAGGTTTAATAAACTGAACACTGGAAAAATAAACATTTTCCCCCCTGGATCCATGGTATTTGAAAGTGGGGGAAACAGTATTGATTAAAAAATAACAACAAAAGCAAGGAGTCTCAAAGATTAGAGACTGTAATTTTAAAAACATCTGGTCCCCAATTCCTACTGGATTATTGTTTTCTACAGAAATATTTTTTTTTGCAGAAATATGGATATTAAAAATGGTCTCTTCTTTATATTACAAATTCATGTCTATATGTTCTTTATTTCTTGCTTCTCAGCTTGCTGCTCATTATCCACATGATTTTTGTTTTCAAAATGTTCTTGTTCAAATAATGTTTAAATTAAAAAGTATAACAGCTTTAATCAGACCTTTTACTAATCAACAGAAACATATATGACAATATCATATGACACCAAAATGAGGGCTGTGTTAACACATTCAAGGAAGTGTCTTGTTTATGGCAATGCTGTGAATGAAGCCCTAGTCCTCACAGTGGACTACATCTTCCTGAAGGTGTGACACAGCTGCTTTGATGGCCTTCCCAGTTTCATGTTCATGCATACACAGAAGACCACTTGAAAAGACATGTCCTGGGAAGGCCTTCAAAGTGGCTGCACTGAACCTTTAGAATTGTAGCCACCTTGACACTTCAAGAGACACCTCTCTGAATTATTCATACAGTTCTAATAAGCACAGCAGGAGGAGCACTATCAACTATTACAAAATATTACATACATGGAACTACATTTGCTCAATATGTTGTAGCAATTTCATGTGTAGTGACTTGTACTAATGTAACTTTAGCCCTCTTTTGTATGAGCACAGTCCATTTCAATATCTGCCCTAGATTTGCATTCTCATTTGGAAACACATCCGGCAATATACTAGATGGAAAGGGATATATACTGATAACTATTGCTGGGGTTATGTTGGCATCTCCACTTCAGGTTGTCCTAGATTAAATGGATTATCTAAACCCATCTCAATTCAGCTTTACCAGCAGCATTTCATATTATCAGCCATTCTGCCCTTCTTTGTTTGCTGGGACAGGATCTGATCTTACAATTTTACCCTGGCTTACACATCTTTCTAGAGAAGTTCTTTCTTTCTACCTTTCACAAGGTAGTCCTGGAGCTTTTGATGACAACAGCTTGGCTGTGTAACTATTGTAGTGTTCCCCAACCTGGATCCCCTCCCTGTGCGTGGATTTAAACTCTCAGAATTCTCAGGGATAGATTCTAGGAGTTGGTCCATATATCTGGAGGGCACCCAGCTTGGGGAAGACTAACCTATAATATTGCTCAGAGTTCTATCTTATCCCTACCATTCAAGTTTATAGAAGAAAATACCGAAGGCGATCCTTCAGGATTTGGGGCTTTGTTGTCCTTAATATGCAGATAATACCTAAAGCTTTCTCCCCCTTTCACCACATTCCAAAGAGGTTGGGGAGTTGGAAATGGAGGCTAACAAACTAAAGCTTAAGTCAAACAAGACAGAGGTCGCATTGGCTCAGGAATTGTTACTCAAGGTTGGATGGGGTAGAATTCTTCTTGAAAATTCAGGTTCATGGTTTGGGAGCTATTTTTGACCTGGTAGTAAACTCAAATGCCCAGGTTTTGTCCCTAACCCTAACCATACAGTTACATAAAACCATGCACCAGCTTTCCCTCTCTTGAAATCCAAAACATCCAGGATGTACAAATTTAAAACAGACATTTTAGAAAGTATAGTTTTTGAACTTGGCAATGTTCAAAACACATACTTGACCTCTCAATTCATTTTAACAGCACCATGTTAGTCACAGTGTGTTCCATTAATCACTTTTAAAATGTAACATCAAAGGTCTGCAGTCAGTTAAAAGAATGTCAAAAGACTAATCCATGCTCTGAACATTTTTTTTATCAACTCTACTCTCCTTAGCTTTAAAAAAAATGTGTAATTTAGAACAGCTCCCCCATCTGTAAAGAAGAAAAGACACAGTGTCAAAATATGGGCTCGTTCCAAAGCTGAGGCCCTTGGAAATAATAGCCTGGAAATATGTGTCAAGCTGCTATGGAGTTTTTATATAATATAGTGGAAAAACACCACAGGACAAGATATTTTGAACTGTTGTTGGCAAAGTTAGGAAGCTCAAAAGAGTTATAGGACTTCTGTAACTACTTTAGTTAAAAGTAAACAAATCTTCCTAAAAAAGTGTAGATGATCTATATTGGGCTGGCCAACCTTTCAGCAGATAAGGGTCTCAAAATCACAGGAAAGGGGGAAGGGAGGAAAGACGTAGGCAGGGGAGATGACACCCTGTGGATGCAGCTGGCCTGCACACGTGGGTGGGGTTAGGATTTTCAACCTTTTCTTGGCTTTTGTGGGAAATGCTGTGTGTTTTCTAAAAAACCCCAAGCTATGCTTATGTTAGGGTTGACACTACCATTTGATACATGTTTTTGTCTCATCTCAAATTAACAGAAAATTACGCTATCAGTGTTTGGCAACTCTGATCAGAGATAGCTGGGTAACTGCCAGTTACCCTCTCCTCATTTGTGTAGACTCTGCATTTCAAATCTCTCTCACCAAAAGGTCCCAATGAAAAGGAAAATCCCTGCCCAGGAAAACACTAGCCCAAAGGAAGATGCAAATATTCAGGACTATATGCACTTTTATTGCTATGCTGGTCTACAAACCTAATAAATTTTCACTAGGTAATACTCCAGAAGCTGCTTTTTGAAAAAGATGTGTTCTTTACCTGGTGTTAAACAGTGCTGCCTTCACTGCAACCGAGATGGCATCAAACAAGTTACCACCACACTCCAGTAACTGAAATTTTTAAAAAGTGGATTTTAATCACTACTGTATAATTTTAATAATTATATCAATCCTAAAAACTATGGCTACATCATCTCATTCTGATAATTATTCTGATATTAACGTATACGTTACACGAAGGTGGTAAAGCATTACTCATTACAGAAACTTCCACAAAATTTGGTATTCTCATTTAATATATCAAAAGAGTTAGTTTTAAAATGCTGGATGAGAAGGGATGATGGTGATGATGATGATGATAAGAATAAAATATTTTGAATGTTTTAATTGCTTTAAATAGTTCTCTCACCAACATGCATAACACTCATGAAAGGTAGCAAATACTTCTCTGTCTTACAGACAGAAATGCTGAGAGATAATAGTTTGATAAAGGCTGACTTCAGACTTCCTTGTTTCAATCTCTTAATTGCCAATTATTCTGTGTATTCCTTCCCTGGATTCAGTGATTTTTTAAAAAATAGTAAACACAAAGGGAGCTACCAGATAGCACTTTCTGTGCTATGTTACTAGAACAACTGTGGACAGAAGAGAGCATATAGTGGGAAATTTCTCTAAATAGCACACGTAAGCACACAGGATTTTGCTTTCCAATGGATCTAGATTATTATTTAAGCATGAGGGGGAAATCTCAGTTTACTAAGTAGTTAACAGATGGGACATCTGAAGAAATTTCCTTGATTTAATATTGGATTATCAAAAACATGTAAATAATGGGAAAAGGAATTCTACCATCTGAAACTGGCACAAGATCTATCAAAAGCTTGAATAAATTCTAACAACTGGCTTCTCAGATCAGTGAAACAGAAATATTCTTCTTAACAGAAACTCAGTGCAAATTGTTTTCAGGGTTCCAGTTAGGAACCAGAAATACCAAATTTCTCCAAGCAGTTTTTGCCTGGAGGTTTAGAAGAGTGACCAGGCAATTGAGGAATATAAAAGAGAGGTAAAATGTAGAGATCTGCATAAAAACATCCAAGAGTGTGATAATATTTAGACTGACTTCCAAAGAAACAAACTCTTGAAGCTTAAGTTTAATTTAAATTCACATATGTCCTACTCACCAAGACATCAACATAAAGTATCCAGCAATGCTGTCTGGGATTAATACAAAGCAACTTCAAGTCGACACTGCTCTCATTATTAAATATCCTATAGAGAGTATTTGCTATCTCAGTGCCAAGTTCTTCACCACCACGTCCTTCAAATTCTGGAGTGGCATTTGCTGAACTGAAACAAGGAAATATATTACAATTCAGGAAACTCAAGACACAGTTCAGAACATTAAATATTGCTGCTATGGGCATGAATATATTCAAACTTAACAAACCAAGGGAGTAAACCACGATCAAGGATTTTTTTAAAATCTGCGCTCAGTCGTTACCGACTCTGCAGTGACTGCTTGGACGAGTCCTT